AGTCTTTTTCTCCTCATCCTCCTCCTTTGGTTAGAGGTAAATGGCGTGACCGGCAGGCTTGAGAGCTGAGCGGCCGGCGGGCTTGACAACAGAGTGGCTGGCGGGTTTGACTGAGGAACGGCCGGCGGGCTTGACAACAGAGCGGCCTGGTGAACTTGACTGAGGAACGGCCAGCGGGCTTGAAGGAGGAACGTGCGGAGGGCTTGACGGCGGGCTGGTTCTGAATCAGGGCCGGACAATCTCCAGACACCAGAGGATCCCTTCCCTCCAGCACAGTCCAGTGGTGTCTGGGAGGTCCACGGGGCAATGGTAGTTGGCCCCAATCCAGAACAGCGAATTCAGCGTGGCCTTGTCTAACGCCGTCATAACGGCGAGCCCGCAGAATTCCCAGGCATACTCCACGAAGGGAAGATCTCTGCTAGGCTAGGGCGGCGAAACAAGGGGCAGAACACACTTTATATACAGAACTGAACTAACAAGGGACTAAACGAGGGACACCTGAAACCTATAAGCATAATTAACAGGAGGGAGAAACTAGGTCACAGGGGGGAACATGGAACACATGGGGGAGGAAAACAAACACTCACAACAGTCCATGGGCTTGACAACAGCATTTGTGATGAATGAATTTCTACTTGGCTCCCAAACAAACAAACAAACAAATAAATAAATAAATACATACATGATAAATACATACATACAGACATACATAAATACAGTATGTTTTAATTCATATTCATGCTGCCAATATATAATTATTCTACCAATATATATTTTTTTATATAAATTAAATAAAAAGCATTTAAAAATATTTATAAGTAATTTTTTTCCCTGTCAAGTTTAATAAAAGTAAGCCTATCTTCAACTTTGTTTCAGATGTTTCTCCTAAAGTTCCATAAAGAGACATGTAAGACTACTACTGGGGTTAGTAGACACTCCATCTAATCTCAATGTTGTCTTGCTCAGAAACAATTTTATACTGAAGAGTTATCGCTTACATTTTTTCTTTTAAATCTGATCTCTGGATTGCTGCCGTAATGTTTTGGATTTTTCTTCTCCATCCAATTTTTTACAGTGAAATCTGGAGCTCATCCAGCAGCTTCCTGTGACCCTCCCTTTAAGGACATTAGATCACTCTCACCCAAAGCAGTTATTGTAAATGAAATGATGACTGCTGTCAGTCACGTATAGCCGTGGATTATGTGTCCTCTATACCATCTGTACACACCCTCTCACTGCCATAGGACACTGATGACAGTCTGTGTGTATTAATAACTGTCTGGTTTGTGACTGGAGTTGCAGGGACAATGGAATGAGGCGAGGACTTTGAGATGAAGAGATGGATTAATCTGAAAGGCTATAACAGTCACAACAGTCTATTCTGTTGCTTAACAGGCCTTGAAAGACATGATGTTGATTTTCATTCCTTTGCCAGTCAGTGATGAAAATTCAGTTGCTCGTCTTGCAACAAACATCTTTCCATCTTTTAGGAGTGAATGTTATTGTTAAAAAGTTTATATTAAAATGTTGTATCATGCTTTTGAAAGCAAAACACTCATTGTGGGGTTGCAGAGTTGGATGAAATATGGACGCATATTGCTACTAATAATTTTTTTTTTCCAAAGTTACTGTGGTTACATGTTGATATGAGACATGTGATGTGTGAAGAAAACAAAGAATAATCAAAATAAATATAATTTATTTTATTCATTTCCGATCACACTGTAATTTTATTATGCCAAATTAAAAGTGTGCATATTATTTAATTGTGTAGGCTACTTAAAACAACAAGACATGTTAATGTTTAACATGCATTACCACTACAGACTGCTATCAAACACAATAAATATTCAGATTTATTAATGACACTGTGGTGGAAATGTCCATGACTTCAAGATAATTGACAAAAATGTCAGAATTCTCCTGTGGTGCATGCTTATACCCTGTTGGACATTGCTAGTGGAAAAAATAAACCATTGAGAGTGTGAAATGTGTTTCAGGAGAATTAAAGCACCCACACCCTTATTTTATGACTCTTTGGCTGATATAGTGACCAATCTGATTGGAATATCTGTTTCTGGCTTTATTGTCTGAATGACTCTGCCACATGCTGAACCATCTCCAAAAGATACTGATGACTGGATAGATTAGATTAAAACTGTTTGTATCATATTATTTTATTGTATTTGAAGTGAAAATGTGATGATGAAATCAGTTTTGACACTGTTTCTCGTACATGCAAGTGTGTGATTTTGTGTGTGGCAGAGACAATGTACCATGCCAAAGATGCTGCTATAGCATTGCTCCTTATAGAAAGGGGGAAGCTGTCAATTCGATACACTTCCTGTCCAGATCTATAGGGACCAGACGTTTTCCTCTCCTGACAGACCTATGGACCATAAGGACCATGTCACCATACTGCAGCCAAAATGCTTGCAAGAAGCAGGAAGTTGGTAAACATTCTTAAGCTCACTTCTTCCTAATCGAAACCTCCTGAGGGTTCATCTTCTATAATGGGGACATAATGGTCACATGAAATGGCTTTCTGTAGATAAAAGCATGTGATAACGCAGGGCATTTAGCCATGTTTACTTTCATTAGAATGCAGCAGCTTCTACTTTACCTGCAAACGCTTTTATTAGATGAATGAAATTAATGGATCATTAATCATGGAATGTTTTTTTTAACCAAACCATAGAATTAATGCAATGAAAACACTGTGCAATTAAATTAGGGCTGTCAAATCGATCATGTTTAATCGCATCCAAAATAAAGTTTTGTGTTTATATAATATATGTGTGTGTACTGTGTATATATATATATATATATATATATATATAAATAAACACACACATGTATTTATTTAAGAAATATATGTAATATATATTTATATAGCCTATTATAGAACTCATATGAATATACAAACACACATACACACACATGTAAATATTTTTTAAATACATACATGTATGTGTAGATTTATATATAAAATATACACTGTACACACACATATCATGTAAACTTTTATTTGGGATGCGATTAATCTCGATTAATCGATTTGACAGCCCTAAATTAAATGCAATGTTTGTATATATTATTACCAAAACAATTTATAAAATGATTTAATATAAAAATAATTAAAATAGGAGTTACAATTAAAACACTATTCATTAAATTGGCATACAGTTACTTTTATATTTTATATATAATGTGTATATATATTAAAATTAATTATTACTATTATTTATATGATAAATGTAAATTAATAAAATCATAAAAATATTAAACTTATAAATAATTATTTATAAATAATTCAAATAGACAGGCTCTAGCATTCCCGCAACCCTACAGAACTAGTGGTTTGGGGACTGGATGGATGGATGGATGGATAATTAAAACAGGAGATTTTCCTGCAATTATATCCATTAGGAAGCTTTTAGCAATAACATTGATTAAATTATTATTTATCAACATTACTCAAATTAAATAATAACCAATCCAATTAAAGAGCTGGAGTGAAAATGCAAGGTGGAATTCAATTAGTACAGGAAGCTGTACGTTTTAAGAGTAACATGAACCAGGGATCCCTTGTGTGATATTTGTGTTCATTTCAAGTGTTCTAGCCTAAACATATGAGGTAAAAGTGCACTTTGCACCATTCATCCGTCCTCTATCTTTCTCACCCTTCATCCGCCTTTCTCCCTCTGTGATGACAACAAACTCTCCTGGGATTCTCCGACCTCCCCTCCCTTGGCTGGTGTGGCCTGAACCTTGACACATAACATTCTTGTACTTCTCCGACTCGATCCCTCAGCAAGGCTATCTAACCATCGGAGTGAGACAGGAAAACTCAACGAACCTCACAGCTGCGACAACACACGTCTTCACAGAGCTGACAAGAGAAAACACCCTGCTGCCTTGGGTGGGAGTGTGGATATGTGTATGTGTGTGTGTGTGTTTAATCTCTGACTCCTTGTATCACACACTCTCACACACAGAAAAAACTATATTTTCTACTAGAAAAACAGATAAGCCCAGGCAGTGGCGTGCACAGACCTCCGGAGGGGCAGGGAAGTAGTGGCGTAGAGCCCAGGATTTCTCTTCTTGGCCTAACACATGTTTTGATTATCAGTGAAAAGAGGTCTGGTCAACAGTTTTTTTGGTCAACTATGTTATTCTTGGAAGAAATATCATTGTATATGAATATGGATAGATGAACATTCAGTGTAATTGTATAAGCCATGGCATTTTCATCTGATATCATTACTGTACCATGGTTAATAGTGTCATTTGTAAAGTAGGAGTCATATTTTTATTTATTTATTTATTTAGATTACCATATTCCTTTTTTTTCTTGACAATTTAAAAAAAAATAAATTATGTCCTATGTTCGTATTTTCTGTATGCTGTTAAACAAAACTAGCGATCCTCGGTTCGTGAATGAATAACTCGTTTGAGTCGGTTCTTTGCAATGAATCTGTCAAAACCGGTTGAATCGGTTCGCGATTCAGTTCGAATCATTCGAAAAGCACTCACACACGCTGAATAGTTTGAAGCGGGTTTCTCAACTACTGTAGCGACACAGGAACTGGAGAACAGAACAATTTAGAACACAAACAAAACTTTACTTACAATAAACTGGATTAAATCTACAAATCCATCCAATTGCCAAAGTTGAAGAAGTTGGTCTTTGTGAAGTTCGTCACCTGCACACGCAGCTTGTGAGCAGCTACTGCAGGTAAAAACATTTAATCAGTGAAAACTCTCATATAACTAATAAGTATAATGGCGTTATCATGTTTTTTGAGATGTACTATGGTGTACACTTGGAGTACCATGTCCATTTTATGGTACTGTAAACGCAGTGTCATGGAATAAATATGGAAGTATGGTGGTGTTACATGAAAGGTTATTTTGAGAAACTGTCCTCGTCGATAAGCCATGATATGGATTTATTTCTGTCCTAAAGGAAGGCTGTTCTTCAGTCTGTTGTTTGTCTGTCCCATACTCATTTGTCCTGGTTTTGTTTATAAATGTTTTGGGTTGTACTGTGAGGTTATTGTGGGTCATTCCTGATTTGTAGAACATACAGTATTCATCATGGTTTATGAGGAACAAGAGCATCCTGAGAATATTACGTGTGACATTATAAGACTCACTATTCAAAATATGTGAGATGATATGAACTGGCTCCAGGCAGGAATATGTCAGGACAATAATGAACATTTTTCAATGTTTACATGTTGGTATGACATTTTTTTTTTTTTTATAAATATTTGCTAAATATTGATAAAAATATGTTGTGGTGTTGGTCTTGATATCTCTTAAGACTGCATAAAGAGAGATTTGGTCTGAATCTGGGCCTGGTTTATGGTTTCAGACAAGACCGCAGTCTCACTTCCAGCAGAATGTAGGTGATAATTACCCAAACCAGTAGTCTGTGTGGTATCTTTTGATGACCCCACAGTTTTTCCCCCACCATTTACCATTTAATGTGATTTTATTGGCATTGGCAGTTAACGCTTAGTGAAATGGAGAAAGTTGTTAATTTGTTGTTATTTTTAGGAAAATTGAAAACATTGACAGAATGGAGAAAACATGATCTTAAGCCAGTGGTTCTCAATTCCAGTCCTGGCGACCCCCAGCTCTGCATATTTTGCATGTGCATGCTCTCTTATTTAATGCACACGATTCAGATAACCAGCTGGTTAGAAGAGAGCTCCATGCATGAACTGTGTTCCGATTGACAGGGTCCCCTACACAGTCTTCATTGCTCCCTGCTCCCTGAACTTCAGAACATTCATTCACGGATTTGCGCTACAGGTCCTGTGGTGTCTTCACACACAGACGAAACTTATACTAGAGAAGTGTGAAATGTGACATAATATTACTCTGTAAATAAATACAATATAAATTCACATCTTGCACACTTTAATGCCCTTTGAATGGAACATAAACGCTCCCTTTGAACTGGAACAAATGTCTGAAGTAATTAGAGATACATACAAAATGTGCAGAACGAGGGGTCATGAGGACGGTCTTGAAGCATTTTTTTTTTTACCCTGCAGTTTTTTTCAGTTGCTTTAAGGTAGGCATAAATGTAATATTTTATAGAAATATTATATTCTACATCTGAAATAATAATAATAATTAATAATATTAATAGTAGTAATAGTAGGAGTAGCCTATTATATTTTTTATAAAAAATATAATATAATTTATACCAAAAAGTTATACTAAAACTATTTAAAAAATGTAATTTGAAGTAATAAAAAAATACAATAAAAACATAATTTATTTATTAAGACAATTGGTGAAAGACAAATATTGTTGTTTTAAGGATGTATAAGGATATTTTTACTTGGAAATTAAGACAAATGAAAAATTAGGAGAAATGTTTGTAATGTTAGTGTCTGTTGTTAGTCTGGATCCAGGTTTTTGAGGGCCTGGTATTGACCTCATCTCTGGAGTATTTTATAGATTTTTTGCTGGTTTAGAAAGTTTAGCATTAGCTTAATTTCCAGGAGATTACATTTGTAATATCATGATTATTCCATTTTCCATTTCCGTTGGATTAGTGGCAGAACTCCGAAAGCGTGAGACAGCAGTCAGCAACACATAAACGCTGACTTGCTTTCTCTTAAAGTGATGAGGGACCACTGAGCCCCACCCAAATCCCTGCTCTATGATGTCATCACCCTCTCTTATGCAAACCAGCTGTTTGCTTAAATGGCCTTTAGATATATCAGTCAAATTTTTGCATGTGTGTTGAAGAATGATGAAGAGATTCAGAGAGAACATATGTGTGGATTTCATATCAACAAAAAATTCTTGAGTAAACAGGCTAGCGGCCAAATAAATGAAAAATTGGATCATATAGATCCAAGGCACACAAAGACGAGGTCTCACTGGGGTAAAGTAGAAATGAACCGTGAGCACATATCAATTTATTTTTCAAGACTTTATTCCTATCACAAACATACATCAGTTTAACACAGTGCTAGTACACCGATCCAAAATGGAACACCGGAATGTTAAAATAAAATGTTATAGTTGAAATAAAGGACATGATATATACGTTTAAAACATATAATTTTCTGTTGGTTTATTTCAAGAGATAGTCACTCTAGCACCAAATTTTAAAAGCACTACATTTTAAAGTTTAAAAGTAGTGTAGAAATGTTCTTTTTGTCTGCACTGTTTCTCATTCTATTGGAGGGAATTGATTAAAACCAAAAGCGATGGTCCAGGGTTTTATGGCTGAACTCAATTACATAATTTCTTTGCCTAGTGATTTTGTACAGTGTAGCAAATGTAGATACAAAATAAAATGCACCCACCCAAGAAACTTCTAATAATTAAGGCAGGTCATTCAAACGATTAAGTCAGTCATTCAATCTATAAACACTACATCTAAATGTCTAGAATAAAAATATTACAAAAAGAGAATAATACTGGTTTACAGAGTACGGTAAAGCTGTAACTCAAATCAGAAATGTCAGATAACATTTAGCTGTCACCCTGAGCACTAGTGGGCTGTGCAGCATATCTAATTGGTAGGATTTTATGTTAAGGGTTGTTTGCAGCAATGAAGTGGAATTGACGCTTAAACAGATTTTTTATACTCCGCAACTCCAGAAATCATTACTTTGTCATGCAGTGATATTAACAAAATAATGTTAATATCAATTAACATTATATAAACATTTATAAAAAGACTATTAACTAGTCAAATCATACTGTACACAAAGACGAATATATAGAACATTTCATAGAGTCTAGAAACACACAAACAACCTGTCGCAAACAAAAACACAACTCACGTCCATTGGATTCTGAATGTTTCTTTATGGTGGGATGTGATTTACTCTCAGCTGGAAGCTGTGGAGCGCTGGGACAGGAGCAAGGATCCTCCCGGCGTTCCATTCCAGCCCTGGCTGCTCTTATGGAAGCCAGTAATGACTCATGGGAAAGGTCCCCACCCCACAGTAGTATTGTATTATACTGAAAGGGACTAAAATGATCTTTTTGTATCATATTTTGATTGAATTTATATAATGTTCTTGTTAAAAATCATCACTGTCATAACGGGCACTTACAAACTGCTTTCATAACATACAACAATCTTTCATTGAAGATCTTTAGCATTGAAATGTGTACATTTATTTTGATAGATAGGGAGGAGGATTACTTGACCAGTTATTTTATCCCATTTTTTATCCTATATATTTGAATACCATATCTTTAACTTGTAACGTATGAAAGTTGTATGAACTTAAATTGAACATTTTGCGTTGTATTTACATGTAAATGGGAGAATTTCAGTCTTTGTCTCCCTTGTGCCTTCTTATGGCCAAGGTCAATATGCAGTAGATTGAGCTGAGTTTAAGGAGCAGGGACTGAGCGTTTCACCCAGACCCTTTGTGGCAGATCGGCTTGTTCACAGCTCAGTGTCTGCCGTTTTGGTAGTAGAGTGGCCATTGGTGGCAGCAGGAGGAGTCTGGGCCTTCTCGGCCTCTTGTGACTCTCCGTTAAGACTGGGCTTCTCCTGGGGCTCGGGTTGATTTAGAGGGGCCACAGACACCAGAGTGTTGCCCTGGTTCTCCTCGTCAGCCATGTAAGACTCCTCAGCCTGTGGAAAACACAAAATACAAACAAAGATTTTACTTTTTAGTTTGCTTTTATTATTATTATTATTTAAATATTTTTACTACTTATTATTTTTTAATTTTGCAAGACAGTTAACCCCAGGAGCAAAGTTCCCTCTAATTTTTTTCTTGCTGAGCAAAAAATTTCCCTATTGGGTGGACATTTTGGCCACCTGAGCAAAAATATTCTTTATACCAGGCCTGTCCAGCACACACAAAAAAGTGTGCAACTTTTAACTGTAATGTGCTATTTATATTTGATTTGACCCTTGATGTAGCCTAACTAAATGATGCACATTTTAGGTTACCTGAGAAAACATTTTTACAGTGCTGTTACTTACCAAGAAATTCTATTTCAAAAACATTTAAAAAAATCTCACGCAGAGGAGTTCAATTCTTTATAAAATAATATAATATAATATAATATAAAAAACTAATATTTTCAATAAATATTTTCTAAAAACGTGAACGTGAATTATTTTACAGTTATCTAAACATCCCCATGTAGTAGAGTTTGCAGACTACTGTAAATGTCTCAGAGTTTTGTTACCGTTCTTTGCCCATCATCCGCTATTTCCACCATTTAATCAAGCCACTCTTCTTTAAGCATGATGAAGTTTTATTTCACATGTCTTTACGTTTGCGTTGGCTCTCGTGTTGAGCTATTTCGTCCTCAACCATTGCAGTATTTGATTTCTACAGCGACGGATTTGGCGCACATCATTATTCTCTTTCTATGAAACCTGTAAACTGCATTTACCGGTTCTTTCTCTATAGCGACACCAACTCTATAGTGGTTTGCCTGAGCATTGCAATTATTTCGCACTTAACTAGACTTCAATCTCATGGCTTTCCCAACTTATTTTTGCGTTATGTTCTGTGCGCGGCATATATAATTTTTTTCTGCGCGGTCGCATGTAGTGAGAAGAAAATTATAAATTGAGCATAAAATTTATAACTCAGGAGACTTAATGGAGTTTGTTATTAAATGTCAACTTTATCTGAGATGTTTCTTTTAAAATTGGGATGAATAACAATAGACACAAATGAGAAATTTTTTTAAGAGTATAAAACTATAAAATATACATATAGGCTATATATATATATTAGGGCTGGGTTTTGACGTTTCGATTCGATTTCTGATTTCGATTCGATTCAATATCAGTTATTTTGAATATATATCAGGTACAGGACATGGCAAATTTTCTCAAGGAAAAAAAAATCTCACAACTAATGCTGTAAAATATATGAGACTCAATAATATGGAAGGTTTAAATTTGCTGATTTGTATACAAACTCTTAATATAGGCCTACTTATTATATATAAACACTTAATATACACAAACTATACTCAATAAAGTTTTTGTAATATTTAAGTGATACTAACTTTAACTTTAAATTACATAATTATATTTCTACTCCAATTCATTTTTTGAATGGTGGTTGTCACAAAAACTTGACGGATTTATTCAAACATAAATTAAATATTGAAGAACAGTAAAACAAATTATAATGAATATGTTATGTGGTGCATATTTAGCAACATGCTCCTCTCTAGAGTTCATTTTTCTAACTGACTAATGAGGTCATGGTCACCGAATCTGTTTTTCTGTGGTAAATGTGACGTGACATATTGTTTACAAGCTATTGTAATCTTCCCGCGTTTGAAACACTGATTTAGCGATTACATGAGACAGGAGACAGATTTTGGTAAGTTGTACTCTTTCTTTTAACATACCTTCGGATGTTCATTCATGTTTATTTCATGCTGTAACTGCTATTAAAGCGGAGGAGATGATCAGTTCACAGCGATCTGTCACTCCACATTAAACAGCGCCAGAATGACATTTAATATTGAATATTGTAATAAAATGGACAGAATTTGAAATATGAGACATTGTTTCATATCAAAAGTAACAATCACAAAGCTTATTGTGATTTATTGGATGGGAGGCGCGCTACAATGTTCTGTTCATTATCTGACAAGCTAGACTAATCGATTCTTGGGATTTATGAATCGATATCATTTCATAAAAATGAGAATCGATTAAAATCAAGAAATTTATATTTTATACCCAGCCCCAATATATATATATATTATTTGTCCTATATGTGTACATTAAATTAAAATGTGAATTGAAATGTTTTGAACTAAATTACTACTTAGCACACAGTGCATTAAACTACGAAAGTTAAGATTTTCATTTTTAGTCAGTATTTTTGTATCAGCGCTGATGAACAAGACCCTTGAACTAAGGTCAGGGTGTTCTTTGAGCAGAATATGAAAACTTCCATAAAATCATTTTTGTTTGATGGAATATTTTTCCTGATGCATCTTCAAAGCTAAAGCATTTATTGAGCAGCATATGTCTTATGAAATCCTGCCCTATGAGAGTGCATTTTGTTTCACTTTCATCATTTCACATCATTTAACAGAGAAGGAAAACAGCTTAGAACTATTGGCAAGGAGATGAAACAGTGTTTCACTAGCATGTGTTGTGTGGTTCTGAGCATTCTGCCAATTGTTTCCCTCTTAAAGGGATAGTTCACCCAAAAATGAAAATTTGATGTTTATCTGCTTACCCCCAGGGCATCCAAGATGTAGGTGACTTTGTTAAATCACGGCTAAAACATACAATAAAACGATAAACATAAAATTTTCATTTTTGGGTGAACTATCCCTTTAATTACGAGCTTGGCAACATTTTCCTACCAAATACACTGATGTTTGCAATTAAAATCCGTGCATAACACGTTCAAAATGGGAATTTGATTGGGAACACTTGGTGGTGGAGATACAGTTGGTAAAGTCATCAATTTGAGGGTTTAGACGTCAGGAAGTGAATGAATGTGTACATTTGTTTCAAAGATTTGCATAGTGTTGAGTTGCAATCACATCCTCAAAAAATTGTATTACAATTAATGGGATGTTTTTCTGAGATTCAGTAAGTCTGACACTCACCAGTTTCATGCCTTTGCTGTTGGTTTGGCGATGGCACTTGAAGTAGTATATGCCAACTATTGTGGCAGCAAGCAGTAAGCCGGTCACCAGCACAGACACGAAAACAGCAGGAGAAGACCCAGAGGTGGAATCTTCTTCTATCTCTTGATTCGGCTACAGAGAAACACGTAAACACCAAGATGTTAACAAAAACAGGGATTAAATATTGGGGAGTTTCAACAGCATTTTGAGTCATATTTTGAACGTTATCTGATCAAGTGATGTTGATTCAGTTTGGGTGTCCCCTAACAGCAAGCAGGAATTTTTGTCATAGGTCTGTTTTGATAAAATAAAGCTGATTACAAATTAAGCCACCGATATTGGTAGATACTGTATATTTAATTGTGTATGCTCATTTCCCCTATTTTTACATTTTACCTTTGCTTTCATCTAAAGCTCACTTAAAAGTAGTCTTTAGAAACACTAATGAACTAATAACACTGTGAAATTTGAACTTTAGCAAATCTTAAAATGAATATCAATTTTTCATATTCTATATTATACTGTTATGAGACTCTATATCAGGGGTCACCAAACTCGGTTCTGGAGGGCCAGTGTCCTGCAGAGTTTAGCTCCAACCCTAATCAAACACACCTGAACAACCCTCTACGGACACCTTGGCAATTGAATCGCCATTGGCTAGTAAATTTTTTTGTTTACTCGCCTGACTGAAATACTATACTATACTATACTATACTATACTAGACTAGACTATATATATATATCTGCCTTTAAGTTTATGGGGCTGTCACGTGATGAACGAACGACTCAAACCTGAAGACTTGTCAGATAAGAGGTGAGGTGAACTAATCATAGACTGATGAAGACCCAGGTAAACAATGAATTAATCTTTTCTGTTTCTTATAGCAGTTTTGTATTGTTTGTAGTGTGATCAATGTTTGCGTAAGTAGTAGACGTGTTAGGGAAGTAACACGTAACATTTTAATTATATTTTGCTAAAATGAATGAAATGAACGAAATGACTCGGAAAAAAGATTCATTCATTTTGCTGAACGAGACTCAAAGGTCCGAGTCGGTAAAATGATCCGAACTTCCCATCACTAACACGCACACGCACACACTCACTCGCACGCACTCACGCACGCACACGCACACACGCACACACACACACACACACTCACTCACACGCTGTGAC